ATATTTGGGATGAACAGGTTTGGTGAGACGCAAGCTGAAAAGACAGCCAAACTTGTGTGTCACTCAAGTTATTATTCGGACATTCACACATATCTTATGAAATATAAAAGATCTTGTTATTAAATCCACTGGCTTTTTGCCACAGCCAATCTGACCAACACTTTTACGGCTGTTAGTAAACAAGTATTTTCAACTTTCATTAGATGAAGCTTTGTCAACCATTATTAATTTTTAATTGCTATTTCTTTTAATATCAAAGTTTACCTTTAACAAAGCTTGTGAGTCACTCAAGGTAGAAGGTTTGGTAATGTTTAATCTTTGTGCCCACAAAAAAACAAAAACGGTGTGCCAAAGGGATGATTATCTTGACACCAGTATTACTGTGTACACTTTTGACGCCTTCGACAATGTTTATTTACACAATTATAAAAATATGTGAACAAAGTACAATGTGATATTTATTATTTACCATTTTTTAAACAACAATAAAAACTATTTTAGTGAATTGATGTTGCAACTGCAAATGAAAAAAAAAAATGCCCAGAAAATGCATTTTCCAAAAATCTATAATTACCGTTATTTGGCATTTTGTGTTTCTTTAAATTTTCTTGTTCGGACATTTTTTATTAATTTATGAAAAAAAAAATATTTTCCTATTTATTTCTTTATAAAATTGCAACTAATAAATATTTCGTTAGAGTTGGTTCGCGTATTTTTATAATCTTTTAAATATAAAATTATTCTTGTAAATTATCAATCTAATAAATAAATAGTGCTTAACATCTTTGTTGTCAATTCTCAAGAATAAAGAAAATATATAAATCCACTTTCATAAGTTTTGCTTTTATTAAAATTCTAATGATTGCTTTTTCAAAAAATAAACATTGTAAATAATTGTATGCAGTAATAATGACTTCAAAAGAATAACCATCCACTGACACAGTCTATTTTATTTTATTTTTTTTCAATCATTAAGGATAAACACTGCTGTAGGTTTTATCTTAATTGGTTCTGCTTCTAATTTAAAATGTAGTGATTTGCTAATGTATTATTATAAGCATTCCACTCTTGTAAAATCTCATCTGCTGTTGCATATCTTGATTATGAAGGGAAGGATACCATTTACACAAATGTTAAATTTATGAATTCTTTGAAAAAAAATTTTTTATTTTTATTTTATTTATTTATTTTTTTTTTTTCTAGCTTTTGGATGAATTAACTCAAGTTATTGGACAGGATTTGCAAAATGCTTCCAATCTCTCAGAACCAAACCCAGACGTCCTGACTTCATCTCAGGTGAGATTTGTTTCTATTTGTCCTTGTCTCGGAGTGGGGGGAGGGACAAGATAATTAAGGGGGTGCTGAAAACCTCTTGGCATTGGGTTGTTTTAATACCTGTTTGGTCAGGCAGGCACAATTTTTAAAATTCAAAGTTGTTTCATTTTTACAAAGTGCTCTGAAATCTTTTCAAAATATTTTTTGATTAGGTTGGTTGAACTGTTTAATTCACTGGCCTCTTTTTTCTTTTCCTTTTCCGTTTCCGTTTTTCATTTTCTCTCTACTCTCTTCTTTTCTCTCTACTCTCTTCTTTTTCTCTCTCTCTTCTTTTCTTCTCTTCTCTTCTTTTCTTCTCTCTCTTTCTCTCTTCTTTTCTCTCTACTCTCTTCTTTTCTCTCTACTCTCTTCTTTTCTCTCTACTCTCTTCTTTTCTCTCTACTCTCTTCTTTTCTCTCTACTCTCTTCTTTTCTCTCTACTCTCTTCTTTTCTCTCTACTCTCTTCTTTTCTCTCTACTCTCTTCTTTTCTCTCTACTCTCTTCTTTTCTCTCTACTCTCTTCTTTTCTCTCTACTCTCTTCTTTTCTCTCTACTCTCTTCTTTTCTCTCTACTCTCTTCTTTTCTCTCTACTCTCTTCTTTTCTCTCTACTCTCTTCTTTTCTCTCTACTCTCTTCTTTTCTCTCTACTCTCTTCTTTTCTCTCTACTCTCTTCTTTTCTCTCTCTCTCTCTCTTCTTTTTCTTTCTCTTTCTCTTCTTTTCTCTCTCTCTTCTTTCTTTTCTCTCTCTCTTCTTTTCTTCTCTCTCTCTCTTTTCTCTCTCTCTCTTCTCTTCTTTCTCTCTTCTTTTCTCTCTCTCTCTTCTTTTTCTCTCTCTCTCTTCTTTTCTCTCTCTCTCTTCTTTTCTCTTTCTCTTCTTTTCTCTCTTCTCTTTTCTTTTCTCTCTCTCTTTTTTCTCTCTCTCTCTTCTTTTCTCTCTACTCTTTTTTTTCTCTTTTCTCTCTCTCTTCTTCTCTCTCTCTCTTTTTTCTCTCTTTTTTATCTCTTCTTTCTCTCACTTCTTCTTTTTCTCTTCTCTCTTCTTTTTCTCTCTCTTCTTCTCTCTCTCTCTTTTCTCTTCTTTCTTTTCTCTCTCTCTTCTTTTCTCTCTACTCTCTTCTTTTCTCTCTACTCTCTTCTTTTCTCTCTACTCTTTCTCCTCTCCTTCCCCTTTCTTTCTCCTCCCTTATAGACTTGTGAAGTATTTGTTTGTTAATTAGTAATTAAGCTAGTGGATTAACTTAGAAATAAAATGACACTTTTGTCCAATAAAATGTAAATTTTTATTATTACCAAAGAACAACAACAATAATTCAACCTTTTTTGTTTCCTTTTTTTCCTAGGCCTTGGAATTCTGGGAATATCTTCTGACCGGTCCTTTACATTCAGCTCTCCAAAGTGAAGACAACAGTCCTGTGTGTGCCTCGGCCTGTGACTGCCTTTCCAACATTGGGCCAGACATTTTCCCTTTGCTTCCTGTAAGTGTTCACTTTCACCCCCTCTTTCATCTTTCAGCTCAACAATAATCGGTTAGAAATCATCATCATCATCAGTCCCATGACCAGCAGGGGTTGTAGGGTCGCCGTGCAACTGAGCACCTCGCTCACCTCAGCATGTCTTGATTGCATACTGATGTCGGTGTATTAGTGAACAATCTTCCAGTCTGCTTAATTCTTTTTCCCCTTAGGTGGTACCTTGTCGGATTGCAGTGGAAAAAATTGTTGGCTATTGTGACATGTCCATAACTATTTCAACTTTCTTCCTTGATGGTAGTTATAAGGTCTTCCAACAGATCTGTCTGTTAAATTGTTTCTCGCACTGTGTCGTTAGCGATGCAGTCTATGTAGCAGATGCACAAGATGATTCTACAGTATCTCATTTCCATTGCTTGGATTCTTCACTGTAATTCTGCTGTTAATATCCAAGATTCGCAGGTGTACAAACAGAGAAAACCGATGCCTGTGATAGCCTGATCTTTGATTTTAGGCAGATGTTCTTGTCTTTCAAGATGGTTCTTAGTTTTGCAACAGCTGCCATTGTTTGCACTGCTCTTAAAAATCATTTTTATTCTAATGTCCTCTTCGCTAACAATCAAGATATTTGAATTGTTTCATTACTTCCTGATCACCATCTTCTATGTTGGTTAAAAGCTCTTTTTCATTATTCATGAATTTGCATTTTTTTTCTTTTCCAAAGCATAAATCTCTATGCCGTATCTGGGGGATTTTTCATTCTGGTTCTTCACCAGACTAACAAGTTTTTCTTTGCCAGCCTAGACCACATATGTCATCTACAAAGGAATCCGGTAGGTCAAGGATGGCCAACCTGTTTTCCTCCCCATAAATGGCATTGCATCCTTTTTGATGAAAAGGTCGCGACTGTCCGATTCAACGTAAGAATTGTTTATTTTTTCTTAAAAACAATTTAACTCCTAATATTTCTGGTTTAATATACGAAAACAAAGCAGCATCAAAAGACACATTAAAGTTATTTATGTTTATTTTGCCTATGTAAGCATTATAAACTCTGTCATGTCCCCCACCCTGCAAAATCTGAAGATAAAAAAAAAGTCAAAGCATTGATTGATGCCCCCCTTTCAAAAACTCCTGGATATGCCCCTGGTCATAAGCATATATTTTTCAAATAAATAGATTTTATTATAACTTTAAAATATGTCCATATTACAACATGTACTGAAAGGAAGTGAATGTTTGTGTTGAGCATTTAAATTAATCGTACAAAATATTGGCGCATGGAATCAAAAGGTTGGCTACCCCCTGCTGTAGGTGTTAGCTTAGAATATTGCCCGATTTTTGAAGTTGTTTACTTGCATGTGTAGAGAAATAAAGTTTAAATCTCAGGCGTAAATGGAGATTTTATTTAACCATTTCTCGTTCCAATATTACTTCAAAGCCTCGGCAATTTTAAATTGTCATCCTGTATTTTTTTTTTCCTTTTCTCAACCATTATAATTAGGTTCATCATGATTCTCACATTTTTCTGTTTTTTTTCTGGGGTTTTTTTTTTGGGTTTTTTTTTTTCTGGGGTTTTTTTTTTTTTTTCTGGGGTTTTTTTTTTTTTTTTGGGGTTTTTTTTTTTTTTTTCTGGGGTTTTTTTTTTTTCTGGGATTTTTTTTTCTGGTTTTTTTTTTCTTTTCTGTTTTTTTTTTCTTTTCTTTTTTTTCTTTTTTGTTTTTTTTTTTTCTTTTTTTTCTTTTCTGTTTTTTTTTTTTTTTCTTTTCTGTTTTTTTTTTTTTTTTTTATTTTTTTCTGTTTTTTTTTTTCTTCTTTTCTTTTCTGTTTTTTGTTTTTTTGAGGGGGGGTTCTGTTTTTTGTTGTTTCTGTTTTTTGCTGTTTCTGTTTTTTTTTTTTTTTTAATTATCATTATTACCTGTGAATTGCCATGATCTTTTGGGAAATATAAGTCATTGATCTGGATACATGAGCCATTGCCTTTTGGCTGCCATTAGGAAAAATGTGAGAAATGGCAGCTCTAATGTCATAATTGGAAGGATCAAAATTGACCACAAAATCAATGGATGGATTGTAGTGTGTCAGCAAAAGATTGAAAGAAAGGAAGGACTTTGCCTTTTTGAAGGATACCTGACACGTGTCAGACCATTTCCATGAAACATCTTTTTTCAAAAGATTGTTGAGGGGTACATAAAAATCGATGAAATTCAGACAAAAAAAGCACTGAGTGGCTAACCAAGCCAAGGAAAGAACGTAATTTTGTTGCATTTGTCGGTGCTGGCATGTTTTTTTTTTAATGCTGAGACATCTTCTTGGTCTGGTGGTCTACCATTTTTGTTGAAAATGAACTGTGTTGGTAAATAAAAGAAAAAGCAAAAGAAAACAAATAATAAGTTTTAACTTCTGGTAGAATTAAGTCTGCAACAGATTTGTCTCTCAACGCAACTTTTTTGTTTTTTAATAAAAAATCCAATTTCAACGACTTCAAACATGACAATCCAACAGGCCAAGTAGAGATGGCAAAATTGTTTTCACATAACCCAGCCTTCGCTTCTCACCAACAAAAGCCTCTAACCCTCCCAAGGCCACTATTTTTAAACAGCCGTTTCTAAACCATAATTTACATATGAATCACTGTTTGATTGGAACGTTAGTCGTCCGAGACCACCTGTCATAAATTTCTTAGCTAGCCACCATTATGATTCTTTTCGAACCTTCGTCGAACAACGGACTTTATCTTTCGCGTATTTTTTAGATTTGGACGTTTCAAAAACACACCCATTTCTTTTCTTTCCTCGTTTCAAAATTAATTCTATTTGCCAGGGACTGTTGCTACATTTGGGTGGCGAAAACTATTCTGCTTTCACATTTTAAGTTGAAATTGCCTCTTACAATTTTTTTTTAGAACTGTAGTCAGTTCAGCAGAACCCAACAGACTGCTGCCTTTCAGTTCCGCTACATAAACCCAAGATATTTTATTTGTTTTCAGACAAATTGACACTTTTCAGCATCTGTACTGTTGAATTTCCGGCAAAAACAGAAAATAAATGTTGCAAAAGTTCATTTTGATTTGTCCCTGCAATGATGATATCATCAATGAATGCGGCAACTCCTATCAATCCGGTCAGTTAAGTTCATCCATTAAATGATTTTCAATATCAGAAACCGAAGTGAGGTTAAATGTATTGATTACAGATTTGAGAGGAATTTCGTAAAGGTTAAGTTGTCCTATCCAGTCAAGACTAATTAAATTTAATTTCAAATTATCTGCAACATAACACACACTAGAAAATATTCTATTTCAAAAGGAAACATTGCAAGTTAGCTCACGAATTAAACAAATTGTACTTCCAGACGCACTCCTTGCTATGTGATCTGTTTCAGATGGATGTCATTTTTTAATTTGTTCCCAAGTCGAATGTGATATTAACATTATGTCTGATGCTGTATCAAATTGGAAACGAACTGGTTTGTTGTTTACAAAAACAACAATATATTTTCTTTGTGATTCGTAATCCACTTTGAATGTCGCAAATACTGTGTTTGTTTTGGACATTTTCCTGTTTTTAGATTTTTTTTATCGGGTTGAATTTTCAGTTGAATTTTTTTGTGAATTTGGATTACAAAATCCTTCTTCATGTGTGTTTTGGTGACAAATGTTGCACTTGGGTTTTTTGAACAGACAAAAGCATGCATAATGTCAATAACATTTGAAAGATATTTTGCATTTGCTGGTGAAATCTTTTAAGGTAATGGCTTTGTCTTGTTCCAATTTTGAAAGAAGTCGAGTGCAAACATGAGGAGGAGATTTTAATTCTGCAATAAAAATCAAACATTTAAACTGTTCCTCTGTGAGGGAATTTAAATTTGTCACATTCCCAATTGACATGACCAGTCAATGTCACATCATAGTCAGCGTCATCTTTTGTTATCTTTAAACAATTGAATCGAATATTAAACAAAGAATGTCTTTTGAATACTTCACTGATTTTCAGTTGCCTGCCTATTCGTATACTAGTCATGTACCTTTGTGCCCAGTTTACGAATTAGATGAATTTTTCATCTTTGTGAGAAAAATCGGCATGAAACATTAATCCACGAAGCGAATGTTTTTCCACTTGCTGGGTCATGATAGAATTCTGTAATGTTAGCCAAGATAACTGCTGAATTGGTATTTTGGTTTGTTCCATTCTAGTGCAGAAAATTTTGAGTTGATTCTGGAACTTTGCAGTCATTGTTGTCAATAACTGTTGTAGCTTCTGAAATTGTTCTTGCTGTTGGCTTAAAATTTTGAGGGAAATTGCCATGTTGATTTTGAAGTTTGAGTCCTCGTCGCCAGAAAGTTGTTTTATTTCGGGTTGTTGGGATGAAAAAAAGAATGAAATTAAGACAAATGTATTTCAAGACCTAAAAAATAACTTTTATTCATTTACTGCCTGAGAACAGAAAGGATTGTTTGGATTTAAACCATGAATTCCACGTGCGTGTCAGCTTATCATTATGCTGAATTCAGAAGTGCTGCGGTCCAACTAACTGACAAGGGCCATAACTCAAGTGTATTTTGAGTTATTGCCCTTTATAAGGGGAAGTAAATAATACCCACTAACATTGGCAATATTTGTTTCTCTCTCCATTCTTAATGAAAGACATTTTTTTTTTTTTTTGTAATATCTTGATATATAAAGATATAACAAAGCCATATGAAACAAAAATCTGATAGATTAATTAACACCTTAAAATATATTAATGAATATATCTAGTTGAAAATTTACTCCAAAAATTTGAAATTTTGAAACGGAAATTAAGAAAACATCAAATTCATTTCTGTTCTTTAATATTTTGAAAAATTGAATATTCTGGTGGCATACATGTACAACATTGAGATTTTAATGGTTAATATTGTACAATATAAAAAAAAAAAAAAAAAATTGTATAGGGGTTGGCTCTACTGTGGAGTCATATTTCTACTCAAGGATGTAATTTATTCCTTGTTTTTAGGGATTGTATTACAGACAAGAAAATATGCTATGTGTCTATTACAGAGTGTAAACAAATTATAGAGAAAAATGAAAGATAATATAAAAGTTAAAAATTTTTATCAAATTTTTTTAAAACTGTAAAATACTTATTTTTCTTTTGTTTTGGTATTTTTGGTAAAATGTCCTTATTTCTTCTTTTTTTTTCTGTTGACAAGCGTTTTCCGGATCTGTGGAAAAAATTTTCTTCCTGCTCAGCCTCACATGAAGTGGTGACAAACTTTTTATGGGTTTTTTCTCTTTCTTTTTTTCTCTCTCTCTTTAATCTGTCTATTTTTTCTCTCTCTTTCCTTTTTCTCTCTCTTCCTCTTTCTTTCTTTCTCTCTCTCTTTTTTTCTTTCTCTCTCTCTCTCTCTTTTCCTTTTTCTCTCTCTCTCTCCTTTTTTTTTTCTCTCTCTCTCTCCTCTTTCTTTTTCTCTCTCTCTCCTTTTTTCTTTTCTCTCTCTCTTCTCTTTCTTTTTTCTTCTCCTCTTTTCTCTTTTCTTTTCTCTCTCTCTCTCTCCTCTTTCTTTTTCTCTCTCTCTCTCTCTTCTTTCTTCTCTTTCTCTCCTCTTTCTTTTTTCTCTCTCTCTCTCTCTTTCTTTTTTCTCTCTCTCTCTCTCTTTTTTCTCTCTCTCTCTCTCTTTCTTTTTTTTCTCTCTCTTTTCTCCTCTTTCTTTTTCTCTCTCTCTCTCTTTTCTTTTTTTCTTTCTCTCTCTCTCTTTTTTTCTTTTTCTTTCTTTTTTTTTCTCTTCTCTCTTTTTTTCTCTCTCTCTTTTTTTTTCTTTCTCTCTCTCTTTTTTTCTTTTTTTTTCTTTTCTCTCTTTTCTTTTCTTTTTTTTCTCTCTTTTCTCTTTTCTTTTTTTTTCTCTCTCTTTTTTTTTTCTCTTTTCTTTCTTTTCTTTCTCTCTCTTTTCTTTCTTTTTTCTCTTTCTTCTCTTCTTTTTCTTTTTTTCTTTTTTCTCTTTCTTTCTCTCTTTTTTTTTTTTTTCTTCTCTTTCTTTTCTTTTTTCTCTTTTTCTTTTTCTTTCTTTTTCTTTCTTTCTCTTTTTTTTTTCTTTTCTCTCTCTCTTTCTTTCTTTCTTTCTCTCTCTCTCTTTTCTTTTTTTTTTCTTTCTCTCTCTTTTTTTTTTTTTTTTTCTTTCTCTTTCTTTTTTCTTTTTCTTTTCTCTCTCTCTTTTTTTTTTCTTTCTTTTCTTTCTCTCTCTTTTCTTTTTCTTTTCTCTCTCTCTTTTTTTCTTTCTCTCTCTCTTTCTTTTTTTCTTTTTCTCTCTCTCTTTTTTCTTTTTTCTTTTTTTTCTTTCTTTTTTTTCTTTCTCTTTCTTTTTTTTTTCTTTTTCTTTTTCTTTCTCTTTCTTTTTCTTTTTTTTCTCTTCTCTCTTTCTTTTTTTTTTTTTCTCTCTCTCTTTTTTTTTTTTTCTTTCTCTCTCTTTTTTTTTCTTTTCTCTCTCTTTTTTCTTTTTTTCTTTCTTTTCTTTTTCTTTCTTTTTTTCTTTTCTCTTTTCTTTCTCTTTTTCTTTTTTTTTTTTTTTTTTTTTTTCTTTCTCTTCTCTTTTTTTTCTTTTTCTCTCTTTTCTTTCTTTTCTTTCTTTTTTCTTCTCTTTTCTTTTCTTTTTCTTTTTCTTTTTCTCTCTCTCTTTTTTTTTTTTTCTCTTTTTTTTCTTTTTCTTTCTTTCTTTTCTTTTTTTTTTTTTCTTTTCTTTCTTTTCTTTTCTTTCTTTTTTTTTTTTTTCTCTCTTTTTTTTTCTTTTTCTCTTTTCTCTTTTTCTTTTTTTTTTTCTCTCTTTCTTTTTTTCTTTCTCTCTTCTTTTTTTTTTTTTTCTCTCTTTTTTTTTCTTTTTTTTCTCTCTCTCTCTTTCTTTTCTCTTTTCTCTTTTTCTTTTCTCTTTCTTTTTTTTTTTTTCTTCTCTTTTCTTTTTTTCTTTTTCTTTCTCTCTCTTTTTCTTTTTCTTTCTCTTTCTCTTTTTTTCTTTCTCTTTTTTTCTTTTCTCTTTCTCTTTTTCTTTCTCTCTTTCTTTTTTTCTCTCTCTCTTTCTTTTTTTTCTTTTTTTTTCTTTCTCTTTTCTTTTTTTTTTTTCTTCTTTTCTTTTTCTTTCTCTCTCTCTTTTTTTTCTTTTTCTTCTCTCTTTTCTTCTCTTTTTTTCTTTTTCTCTTCTTTTTTTCTTTTTCTTTCTTTTCTTTCTCTTTCTTTTTTCTTTCTCTCTCTCTTTTGTTTCTTTTCTTCATTAATGAATAATATTAAAATTTTCTTTTTCTTTCTCTACCCTTTTTTTTTCTTTTCTTTCTTAATCTTTGTGCATAAAATTTCCAAGCTCTTTTTTTTCTTTTTTTTTTTTTTTTCCTTTTAACTTTTTTTTTTCATTTCTTTTTCAAATCTTGAAATATTTCTTTTCTTTTAAATTTTTGTCTTTTTGTTACTTTCCACTCTGCAACACTTAAATTAGTGTGAGCAGAATAAAGGCCAACTGGAGGTTTTTTTTTCAAAAAGTGAAAATAAAATGATGAAAAGGGGCCATACAAAAATGAGTAATCTAGCCAAGTCCTTTTGATTCTTGAAGTAAACCCCATAATTGTCAATCTTTTCAGCCACTCATTTTTGTAGCCAATTTCAACCAACTTTATTTACTTTTTATTTCAGGATCTAACGTTCATGTCGGATGCTGCCCACACAATCCTCACACTGATGACCGATCAGAGTACAACGGTTCGAATGAAGGCAGCCTGGGCTCTAGCAAATTTCTGTGATGCGCTAGCACTCAACAGGTAATAAGTACCTCTTGCTTGTAGTCCATTGTACCCAACAAGTCACAGAATTGAAGCAATAATATCGAAGCTATTGAAAATACTTTCTTAGCACTTAGAAACTTATATTGTCTGTTGTCAATGTAGAAATATATTTTTATATACTTGTCTTTACAAGACTTACATTGCCTGCTATTAACATGTGTGTGTGTGAGAATTGGAATCGACTATAGATCAGAATTTGGTAGAATAATAGGATAAGGAATAAATAGGAAACATTTATATATTTAACATATTTCACTTTTATTTAAGCTACAACCACAACCAGTGTAACTTAAATTCATTCTCTCACAGAAAACAAACTCTAATCAACATGCAGACAATTATTTAAATTGTTCGGACTGTTGTTCTCATCTTTTTTGCCATGTTCACAATGTTTCAGCCATTGTAGACTACGGTCTTCTTAAGGTAATTGGAAACATGGCCCAGTGGATAAAAGCATTAGTCAGATCCAGTGACTTGACCCAAAGAGTTGTGAGTTCAATACCTGGCTACGGCAGTGGTGAACAAAAACTTGGAGGGTCAAGTTAAAGGGAGATAACTGAGACATTTCTAAGAGGTATAGCACGTGGAACTAGAACAATATATCCCAGTGGATGAAATAAAGGGTTCAGTTCGAAAATTCCAATCGCCTGAAGAAGGCTGGAGCGTACAATGTACAAAATGTCATTAACATGGCAATAAAGATGAGGGCAACACTCCGAACCATGTAAATAATTACAATACCTCACCTCAGAAATATAGACAGATATAGATGAAAATACCCACTAAACACTCAAATACACACACACACACACACACACACACACACACACACACATGCATAAACATTATCACCTGAATCCTGCATAGATCAACTGGAATTGTGATGCACAAACATGCATAAATTATACACGCACACACTGCACTGCTTGACCAATGAAAAATAAAAAAAAAACGAAATAAGTTTTTTCTCCATATTTCAATTTTTGATAAAGCTTAATTTTACTTAAAATGTTAAATTTATAAACATTTCCTATTTGTTCCTTAATTATATATATATATATATATATATATATATATATATATATATATACACTTTTACACACTTTGGGGACAGGGAACCATGTGTTAATAAGGATTTCTGTTTGTGTTACCCAGCAGCGTTTGAAATTCATTCATCCTGGTTTGTGCTTTCGAAGTATCGGATACATTCATCCCATTTTTGTTTTGTTCCTAATGTGAAAAGTCCGGTTCATTGCCTGCCTATTGTGATCTAGTATTCGGCTTCTTTAGTTTTTGAATCCAGTGCTTCTGATCTTTCTGTCCCTCTTTGATATCCAACCAATAAAAAGAAAATTCATCAACAACCTAACGCCAATATGCATTATTTGCTATTCACTTGGGATGTAAGTTAATAAAGTTTAAAACAAAGGATTTGTAATTCTCTGAAATATATTTTGTTGTTGTTGTGTTTTTCAGGGAAAACAAGGATGAGGAATTTCTTGAGGACTTTTCAGACTCACTCCTCCTAAAGTTATTTGAAACGGCAACCAACGCTTCCCAAGACAATGACAAAATCCGATCCAATGGAGTCCGAGCATTGGGAAATCTTTTACGTTATCTTTCCGATAAATCCTTAGGTAAGCAAAGTCTTGCTGCATCCTGATACGTTTTTCTTAGAATTTATTTTGTTTATTTATTTTATTTTTTTGAGAATGTCTAATTAATTAAAATTATTTTTACAATTATTATTGTACAAAAAACGTTTAACAGTGACACACTGGCTCCCTGGGTATGTTCAAGATACCCACATAGTAAAGTGTTTTTGAAATTTGCATTTCACGTGGCACAAGGACATTAAATGATTTTCTAAGTATAGCTTAGAAAATCATTTAATATATACAAAATGCTGCGACGAAATGCTAAAACTGAAAGTATGAACCACCCAGTGTGGATCAAACTCACTACTCAGTTGTAATTGATCTAGTGAGACAAGTTTGCTAACCATTACATTACGTTGAAGTGCCCCAGTTTTTTTAAGTATAGCTTAGGTGTGGCACAAGGCTGAAAGTATGAGGAACTCAATGGGGATGGAATTCACTATTCTGTCAAAACTGATTAAAGCAAGACAACATTAGTCCTAAATTTAGTCCATTTTTATAGCTTAGATGTAAATTTAATGCCAACTCCATACCCAATGAGGATCAAACACACTACTCAATCTAGTGAGACAAGCTTGCTAACCATTACACCACACTGAAGGGTCCCACTCACATAGTAAGGTGGATTATAAATGAATTTATCTGGACCTGAAGTGCTGGCAGTTTTTTTTATGATTCTATCAGTGAGATCTCTAAAGCAACCACCTGTTGTCTACAATACAGAAAAATAAAATAGATAAATAAAACTTTTAGGGATCATGTGCCACTTGTCCTGAAGGTAGAGGATTCCCGTTGTGGGCCTAAATAATGAGGACTCCTCCTAGAATTACTAGTTATGACGTCATCAGTAAAAGTAGAAAAGTAGTCATGGGCAGTTGAAATGACAAAATAGACATGATGCGAGTTACAAAGTCGTCTGTTGCGATGTAGAGAGGTATAGTAATAGTGATAGGTTGTAGTCAGTTCTCAATGGCTGAAAGGGAGATCTTGTATATTAATCTGTCATGAAGAAAGAGAGTAGTGGCAGTAAAGATGTTCCAAATTTCACTTACTTACCTAACAGACAATGCCATATTTATTACAACATTTCGGCCATTATACACTCTGGCCTTCTTCAGGTGGTTGGAATGTCAAACTTTACCCTTTATTTGCTCACTGGGGTAGTTCCACATGCCATGCTAATGGGTGTCAGTTATCTCCTTGTTAATTCCCTGCCTTAACTGGGTATTGAATTCAAGGACACATGGCACAGTGGATAAAGGTGTTTGTTACATCCAGTGACAGAAAAAAAGAGTGTGAGTTCAATATATGGTTAAGGCAGTGGAAATCTTTCAGAACTGGGAAATTAACAGGAGATAACTGATAACTCACATCCATTAAACATGACACGTGGAACTAGAACAGTCTACCCCAGTGAGCAAAATAAAGGGTTAAGTTCAACATTCCAACCATCTGAAAGTTGAAGGCCGGAACATACAACGACCGGAACGTAATAAATATGGCAACAAAGATTAGGACAATAGTCCAGATAATGTAAATAATGTACATAATACCTCATCTCAGAAATATAGACAGGTAATTAAAATTAAAAGAAAACTGTTAAATTCATAACCTCATGTTATTTAAAATATATAAAACATAAATTAATCCCAAATTAAAATAATTACTAATTTGCATTAAAAAAAAAAAAAAAAAAATTTCAAGAACATCATTTACTTTCATTTATTAGACATTGAATTGTGTCACTTGGCGTTCCCATAGTTTATCTGACTTTTCAGCTAACCTGATGAACGTCCTTTAAAAATTTTGAAAAACCAGTGTTTTTACTCTTGTCTATAAAGATTTGTCATGAAATAAAATCCTTCCATTTGCTTTGATAAAGTCTCTCAGAGGACAAAATATGTCAGCTAAGATAAGTTTTCCTTTTGTCTTTATTCATGGTGTCCTTTTACTGATATATTCCATCGGAAATTGTATACATCTGTACATCTAATAAACTTATAATAAAAAAAAAATATATGCAATTCAGAGAAATTCTCTGAAATACATTTTTGGCCCTTTAGTTGCCATATGTGATGTGGGAAAACATTTTAAAAATTGTATCTCTTAGTTTCGTAATCTATATCATGTGCGTTGACTTTCCAATCACTTTGTATAATTTCTGAGTTGTGTACATTGATCTTTTCCAGAAAATTCTGAAATTCAGGTTGCAATTCAAACAGCAGTGAAGTCTTTGGTTCAAAACACAACAAATGGAATCATGAAAGTGAGTTACTTTTTCAGTTGAAATAGGACATAGTAGTAATGAGGAAGAAAGGTTTCATTTACATGTTGTTTTTTGTTTTTTTTTGGGGGGGGGTTGTTTTGTTTGTTTGTTTGTTTTTTTTTTGTTTTTTTTGTTCCTTTTAGTTTAAAGCCAGTTAAGGAAAATGGATTAAATCCTAGTTGAAAAAAATAGTCACTCCAGAAAAGTCAAGGAATATGTTTAAATACCAGTGAAATCAGGGAATTTTCTAATGCAACTCAACATACATCTACTGCCATATTTGTTATAGTCTTTTTTAGATTGAAAACTCTAAATAAATAGTAATTGTTATTAATAGTGATATGGGTGTTTCATTAAGATGAATTAAAGTCAGCAGGAAATAAATCAGTGTTATTGGTGAAGATTTATTTATTTCTATATTGGATCAGGTTATTTAAGTCATGGCAATTATGTGTGAAAAATAATATTGCCCAAATATCTGCCAAGACTTTGGCGGCACACCTCCCCTTGATGGTTAAAACTTTTGCTGACATCTCTGCATAGTTGCTCCTCAATCTCACCAATATGCCTTATTATCCCATCCTTCAGCTGTTGAATTGTTATTGGCTTGTTGGCATAGAGCTTACTTTTGAGATGATCCCAAAGGAAGAAATCTAAAGGTATCAAGGTGCACAATTGATTTCGCTGTTTCGAGAGATGATGCAACCTGGGAACATCTCATTCAAATTCTGTTTGAATGTCCATTTTCGTAATAGACTTCGATAACTTTAACATATTGTTTGATTGTTAATCTTCCCATGGTTGAAATTGTCAAAGACTTAAGTTGTTAAATCTGAAAGAAAAAGATAAAAATCACTAGACGTTTAAACTTAATTCACATTTAAAATCAGTCCAAGTTATTGGAACACCCTTTCTTTGTTTTTTAGGATAAGTAAAATTGGAATAAAAGTGTTTATTTTTTGTTTTTTTGTCTGTTCACCAACATAATATAAAACAATCTACAAAAATATTACATTAATTTGAAGTCCTAAGTAATGAAATGTGTAACACAGAATTTTTTTCTGCTTCATCATTCATTTTCTTACTGTTGTATACCTCCACTTTTCTGGGGAGGACTTATGGTTGAAGGAGGCGATCATAATAAAGTTGTATTCCTCCCCCCCCCCTCAGCCGGGTGATCACTAGTTGGTTTGTTTGGAGGTAAAATGAGAACTTTAACAAAAGAGATTTTAACTTACTACTTTATTAAACACATCCATATGTACATTTTTAACTAGCCAGTGGGGTCGCTCTAACACCCCTACTGGGGAGCAAGTTCCCCACATACGAAGTTAACATGTCTGCATTCTTCAACGTGTAAAACTTCACTCCTTGAAAACACTTTCTATATCTCTAACCTTCTCACTCTAGTTTTAACCAATCAAAATGGACTTCCTTTGTTTTGTCTACCAGCTGACCCCAAGGTCAGCCTCAGAAGGTTTGAGCCAAATACACTGCCTTTAAAAAATAATAGTTTAAATCTTATTTAACATTACTACTGTCTATCCATCAGTTACTAATTTTTTTTATTTTTTATTTTTTTTACCATTTCACCTCAAGCAAGTTAATAAAGCCATTAAGATGCAAGGTTTATTGAGAGTGAAAGTGTAGGAATTTTTCTCAGCTGCATGTGTGCTTGGCAGTGAGAGTAGAATGAGCAAAACCGAAGGCTGAATATAACTGTTCAACAGCTTTTATTTGTGGTTGAAAAAGAGTGCAAAATGATGGTATTTTGCGGGGTGGGGGGTTGATTTCCCAGTTAACAAAATTCTTGAGTAGATGTTTTATAGTGAGAGATTTCTTTGCTTATTCCCACAGAAGGAATGAGAAATCTGAGTGTGAATCTGCTAGGACTGGTATGTTTCTTCTACATCAAGGGTTAGTTTTTCCTTTGGGTAGGCGTCTTGAAGGGAGATTTTTCTGCATCTTCCCATGGGAGGAACAGGAAAATCTGAAGTCAAGCTGCCAAAACAGAACCATGTCTTCTGCAGCAAGGATGAGTATCCCTTAAAGCTAGCCTTCAAGGTAGAGGCCCCTGAAAGGGAAAATAGAAAAAGGGACCGATTAGGTCTCAGTCAGCATTTCTATGGGTTCTGGCACTTCCAGCACCTCCCTGCTGATTACTTCTGCTGAAACGAGCAAAATCAGGAAGAGCTCTCATGCCACAATGGCCAAACAAGTAAGATAGTTACCATAAAAGAGTCTGTGAAAAAAAAAAACATTATTGAGAACAATAAAAGAACAAAATTCAAAGAGACAGAAGATGACGATTGATGTTGCATGTAAAGTTTTGTAAATTGTATTTGATAGGAAAGCAAGAAGCCAGAAAGGAGTTCCACAAGTAAGAAGTGCAAGAGAAGAAATTGTTAGCATAGAACTTATGGTTACTTTTAGCCAATTCAACTATAAAATGATGAGACATGGCTGCCAATCTAGTAATGCATTTAAATCTGTAAAATGGCGGTACCAAAGGGGATATATGAAAAAAATCAGGGAAATTTTATTCCGTGATTTAAGTTGGGAGCCCTGTTTTAAGAGAGAATAACTGACAATTATGAGTTTAAGGATCTGTTCACTTGTTTCAGTCCATGTCACCTCTCTGCAAATGGTCCAATTTTTGGCAAACATGGATTAACGTGCCCCCAATAAAATGTAATGTCAAAAGGAGTTTTTCCAATACTTATTTTGATCCATTTAATC